AGCAATGACTTTATAACTGGGGGAACAGCACTCATTCTTTGAGATATTTGACCTTAGTCCCTAAACTTTCAGTTTGTCCTCTTAAGAAATCACTATCTAGAGTTTTCATCTTCAAGTCAGGTGTAGGCCCAGTCTTCTGAAGTTTTCAAAGCATGAAGGTAAATAGTCTTATCTCCTTTAACACTGATAGTGTCTCACATAAAGAGAAGACTGTTAGCAAGTAGTAGTTGTAAGGGAAATGCCTGGAAAAGTGGCTAGAAATGCAATAGCCAGTTTGTCAGAACTACCTTTTAATTCCTCCCCTCTCCAATTCATTAATTCTTCTTTGAGTTTTCTCAGAAGAAAACTTCTTAAATTGGATCAAAAGTTCTCTCCTGCAAATGACAGCCTGGCACAGATTACCTTCTGGAGGTATTATTCAAATGCCTTTAYGGCTAGCAATGAACTGAAACCTTTTCCACCATAAGCAAAGCAGTCTTGTATCCATGCTCCAGCCACACGTAATACCACAGGCCCTAGCACAGGGAATGTGCCAAGAGTTTTTTTCCTTTCTCTAGTTTCTCTTGTTCTTCAGGTGATGACCAACTGCTTTGTAGTTGCTCAGCACTCAACTTTCTTTTATACAGTTTAAAAAACAAAACAACTGCTTTAACCCCAAATTTGTATTCTGCATATCCTCTTATGCCACAACTGCTCGTGAACCTTTCCTTACTGTCTGGACCTTACCCCAGAGCCAGCTATGTTCACCTGAGGTCTGACAATTTCCAAGCCTGCCTTGTACTTTTGTTAACCAAAAGCTATGCTTTTACTATTTCTTTTCCTAGAAAAGAACCCACTGACTGATCCTAGTTACTTAGTTACTTCTTGTCAGTTCTTGTTGTCATTTCTTCTAAACCTAAAAAGTCATTTCATAATCAATTGTCTTACGGTATAGGCAGCAAGAATCCTATGTCATGTACTGGTCTGTACGAAGTGTAGCTTGAACTTAGCTTGCTTCATTATGCTAGAAATTTCCCAAATCAATCATCCTAGGAAAATACTTCACATATTTAAGTGTCAGAAAAGGTTAAAGGCTTTTTGGTATGTCTTTATCTGTGGTGTACCAGAAGGATTTTGCATCTACAGTTTTCTGATACACATGCAGTGCCATTTACCAGACATTCCCTGTTAGTTGAATGTAGTTTTCACCCTGCAAAAAATAACTGATAAAACAATATAGAGAGTATGCTTTTAAAAAGCACTTCAGTCAGCAGCTCATCTATTTGTGCTACTGATTTTCATCTCAGTTGCAGTTAGAAGAGATTTCATTCTTTTGTTAATTTCACTAGATCACTACAGAAAGCGTTAAGCTCATGTAAGCAGAATTAGCCTCCACTATGGCTATAGTGGGCCATAGCGGGCCCTCTTACAGTGGCACTCTTAGAGTACAGCAGCTCATTTTCAGTTTATTTGCTGCCCACTCACAGCCGCCTTTCCTCTGACAGAAAAAGTGATCAAAAGATGCAGAAAAATGAATATGCCAAAGACATTAATAAGGTCAGCTATCMTGTTTGCATTATTTTTCTCCACATTCATGTCACCAGTGAAGGATCAGTTCAGCATGTCACTTGGTACTTAGCATTCCTAACATGCCCTCGCAAGCTTTCCACATTACGCCCTCTCGAGAAATGGTTCTCAAGAACCATTTCCCTCTGAACAAGCAACACGGGAGCGTGCGAGGTGAGGTGCTCCTGTTTCGAGGCTGACGCCTTTGGGTCTGCCTGATTAGCTTGGTGCCCTCGGGCTCTCCGGTCTGTACATCGGCAGTGGGAAAGGAGAGCCCAGCGCACAGGGGCACGACAGAGCCCAGCCAGTTCAAGGACGTATCGGGGCCACTACAAACATGCAGACTGGCACACAGCACGTGCTCAGGGTTGGATTTATGGCATTTCCAAAGAGATTAAGTTTGGCCGCCCTGTTGTCTCTCCTGTCCCTGAAAGTCCAGCCTTTCACTGCCAATTCCTGTGGCTGTGGCTGCCAGGGAGCTGAGGAGGGTTTGCCCAGGGAGAAGTGTCACCTACAGRAACATACGGAATTGCTCAGATCAATGTCTCACCTGGTCCACTACCATGTCTTTGCAAATGGCAACAGGCAATGCCATTCATGGACAGCACCTGGTTCTATCCGCTCTGTTCACTTGCTTCTGCTCATAATCCCCAATATCCACAATTACTGGATTAGGAATGCTACTGGCCACATGCCAGGCTTTCATATCCCCCAGGCTTTGTGAGCCTCTTGCTCCTAAAATTGCCTAATACTTTTCTGAGCCTGCTGACATTGTCAGTCTCCACGGCCTCCTGTGGTGACAAATTCCACAACTTCACTGCCCACAGTGGAAAAAAAGTATTCACTCTCATCTCTTTTAGACTGACCTAGTAATTTGATTGTGTGTCCTCATTTTAGTATTGCAAGTTTTTTTGACAGTTCTCATTCCTCTTACCCACAGCTTCATGATTTTAGAAAATTCTTTGGCTTCCTCTCCAAACTGAATAGTGCCAACCCTCCTAGTCCCCTCCTAGAGGGGGACCATTATCTATTGGAATCATTTAGCTGTTTTCTTTATACTATTTCTAATACAACAGCACCTATGTGACGCAGAGACCAGACTGCACACAGTGCTGAAGCTGTGGCCTCAGCAGAGCTTCATGCACCAGCAAATCACACTGTCTTGGTGGTGGTTCCCAGGACTTGGCTGATTTTTGGCTGCTGCTGCACATGGAGCGGATGGTTTCAGAGAGGTGTCAGTGATGACTCCAAGGTTTCTCTCCTCAGCTGCAGCTGCCAGTTCCGAGCTTGGTGTCATCTACAAGTATAGCAGCAGAGTAGACAGTGTCGATTCCTCACCCATCTCTTCCCAACAATCTGCAAAATGAGATGTATCCTGAACAAAGAAAATATGCCTATGTGTTCAGTAAACTTCCAAACTTGCACAATTTTTTCTTCCATTTAATTTGCTGCTCTTGTCCAAACACACAGCAAAAGAGATGTAAACTTGAGAAGCCAGCCTCTTTTTCGAAAGTGTTAAATATGACTTGCTGTTCTTTTAGAAATTTCATCTATGAAGCTCTGAAATATTCTGACAAAGAGCATTTCTCATCCTCTCCCTTCCCCTATAAGTGGTTATTATAAACCACTTCTTCTAACAAGTTATTGGCCAAGAGACTGAAATGCAGGCTCCATACTCCTTGACAAATGTCTAGCCACCAGCTACAGTATGATGTGGATTAATTTTCCCTGTCTCCTTGGTCCGGTGAAGACAAATGTGTCCAAAAATACTGAAACATCTGCAGTAGTAGGAACTGTGATRTCTCCTTTCTTCAAAGGACCTCATGCCTTCTGGTGGTGTATGGCCTTCCACAGACAGACTRGAGATGGTCAGTGCAGGAGGCAGGTAAGAATAAGCATGTGTGCTTTCGGTAATTGAAATGAATGTATTAAGCTTGAATCTATAGAGTAGAAGGGGAARAAAAGCCTCATTTTCTCTTCTCATTTTGTGTGAGCTTCTAATCACGTCTGATCTGATTGTGCCTCACTAATGAGAAAAGTGGGCGCTCCTGTATCTTGTGCATCTTGTAGGACAGAGGTGAATGCACAGAAAGCACCAGAAGCTTCAGCAGGAATACAACACAGTGAAGCAGTTTGTATAACCTGMAACTGCAATCACAAAGAAAAATGAACTTTACAGATGTTATAATAGCTTGCTGGGGTTAAATGAATGCTTTTGGAGGCCAAGAACAGATGTGACACAAATGCRTTTAATTAAACGGCTGTACAGTGGAAATCTTAATCATTTTCAAAAGCCAGCTGAGGGAGAATTAACTCACAAATCTTGCATACAGGAAGCATCTTTGCAGTTTTCAATGCTCAATTACATTTTCTCTGAATACAACATCACTATGAGAGAGCAGTTACAGGCTGTGTGGCAACAACCTGCTTGGAGGTGGACAACACGGAGAAAGACAGAGTTCCTGCCCTGAGGAGCTTACAGTCTAAAATTTGACATGGACAATACTATTCCAACATATAACATTTGAGTGAAATATCATCAGTCACATAGAAGAGTTTAACAATCTTTAACAATTGCAATCCCAAATATATATATAAGTGCCGAAGGTAGGACTGAATGGTGTCCTTGTTCTGCTATATTTAAATCCTCATACACGTGCGGGCGTGAAACACAGTGACAGTTTATTTGACAGGTGATTTTATTTTCTCTGGTGGTACTGCTCCAGCTTGTGCTTCCTGAGAAGAGAACACAAATCAGAATCTAGCACTCCTTCCATAACTGTGTGTGTCTGAACATTGAATGGCTTTATGCTGAGCTAATTCCTCGCAGAAACAGAGGGATGCAGATTTCAGAGAGGCAGCATGGAAGAAATGGCCACTTTCCTGTCCTATGGAGGCACTGGGTATCCACACCAGTATCTCCGTGGCTGCTGAAACCTCTGGCCATTTCCCTCAGAGGCAGAATTAGCTGGGAATCTGTCTAGTTCTAGGAAGAATATATCACACACTGTGCCTGCAGCTGGGAGACAGTCATACCAACCCAAGGGATAATCTACTGGAAATTCCAAATACCAAGGAGAAGAGACAGTATCGCAGAGAAGGAAACCTGAAAACTGAATTTAAAAACTCTTGCTGATAAAACTTGAGTAATGCTGGATGCTCCTACATCTGGACAGGCACAAATCCACAGAAGTTTCCCTTCTGTGATTTACAGAGTCTGTAAGGGGAATAGTTAGTACTAACCATTATGTATCAAATACATAAAACTTCATTTTGGAGGCAATTGATAAGTTCTTTCCAGCCTGGCCCTCACCATTACTGCATATAACACCAATATGTACAAAATTTTCAAAATGATTTTTCTTTTTCTTTAAGAAACATTTAGAAACTGTGCGGGATACCCTAATAGTTACCTGAAAACTTTTTCAGGAAAGAATGTGCCATAAGAGGGTATACTAAGACTCTTCCTGTTCCTCTGTCACCTCTACTTCCTGCTTTTCTTCTTCCTCTTCCTGCTTTTCTTCTTCTTCCTTTTTTTATAGAAAATATTTCAGTGGATCATGCAAGAACTGAGGAAAAACTGAACAGTCCTTTTACAGCTGTTACATTTCTAGCAAATGTCAGTTTCATTAGAGCACAAAACAAAAGTAGAACCAAGGAACAATGTATAGAGTTTTTATTTTTAACATGAAAAGGCTCCAGCCTCATGGAGTTAGAAGGCTGATGTTTTAATATAATACCTTTCTTAGATACTTTAGAGGAAGGTAGATGGTTAAGATGCTCAAGATCAAAAGCAGAATATAAAAATATGTGCAAATATGACATAGAACTTAGCATTTGGAATCAGATGCTTTCTTTGAGCAGTAAGCAAGGCAAGATTCATGCAACAGGAGCTAGACTCTTGACAGATCACTGAGAGTCAGAAAGTAAGGGTCTTTTTGTTTCAAAAAAAAAAAATGTTTGTCATAAAGAAGAAACGGCACAATTTAAAGCTTAAGGCTCCTGCCTTCACCCAAGCAAATAATTTTAATGAAAATACTGGAGAAATATTCAAGGCAAAAATTCGCAAGCCCTGGCAAAGGATACARGTATGTAAGAACTTGCACCTGGGTCTTACAAATCTTGGCAGGGAAAATACATCCTTCAGCTAATTGCCTGATTTGTCAAAATGGCTCTTACACATTCAGAACACTGAAAATGTAATCAGCGTGGTGTCAGTGAGCCTCAAAGGTATTTTCAAAGTCTTGGGAGCTCTTGGCAAATTTTATTAAAGAATCTGTGAAAGACAAGTTCTCTTCCATTTACAGTTTTAAATAATTGAAGGACAATAGAACTATGATATGACCGGTAATTATCCTAGAAAAATGTAATAAATACTAGTATATTCAGTTTCATGAGTAAGAATTTGCTAACTTTCAAGTGACTAGAGGAGACTGAAAAGAAACTACATGCACACAGACAAAAGCTGAAAGCAAAATGTCCAGAGAGTATACTATACCCCTGCTGCTGCATGTTCTTCCTTGTTTTCCTGCATAAAAGGACATGTAAAAGAAAATAGTTAAAAGACAGATCAGAAAAAATAGAAGTTATACAGGTAAAGCATAGAAGAGATTAAAATGCTGAATGTAGGAAAATTATGTGGAATTTAGTGCATTTACTTTGCGCTACTGTGCTCCAGAATAAGTCACAAAGCACATTTAAACTAAGCTTCTAATTTGCAAAAGGCTTTAAAATTTGCTTTTTTCCTCAGTTACTTCCAATCAAATCTTCTTCATTTACAAGCAAAGAATTAGGGCTTGGGTTTTGATTGGCTTTTCTTTTTTTGTGTGTGTGKTTTTTTTTTCCTAATTATGTGGTCCTCATAATCAAAATTAAATCTGTATTATGCAGAGTCCTATCTGTGTGGCATACCACTATTGAGAACCTGGCTTGCTAATCTGTTGATGATTTGTAGGCTGCAACAGATGTCTTGGCTCAACAGTGCTGGGGAATAAGAAATAAGGCAAACCGACTTAAAAATTTACAGTGCAACAGGATTTAATGTCAAATACCAAACTGCTTATTGGAGGGAAGAGCTAATCCTACACAGGAACCCAAGGAGAAAGGGCAGAGAGGATGGTACCATACAGGGGGCTGTGAGGAATTTGCATTGAATGAGGTGGGATGGGGAATGAGCTGCAGGGGCAGAGTTTATATATGGCTGTGTGAATTGCTGAGACAGGCTATAGACTTGCATTGTAATACGATTTTTTGAACACAGTTCTAAAATAATTTGGCCTCATTCTCAAAGTAAGCCTTGTCTGTACCGGAAATGGATTTAACTGGGACAGCACTTAAATAAGTTTCTGCACACAAGCTAAAATATACTGCTGCCACATCCCATGACCAGCAGAATGAGAGCCCTCGCTGTGCCAGCCCTGTGGAAGATCACAGTCTCGTCCTCAAAATACTCAGAAACCAAAGGACAGACAAAGCAGGAGAAAGGGACACTATATCCAAGCAAAATGGCCCCACGATCTTCTCCACCAAAAGATGGGGATTAGAGTTGAAAAAAAGGATGAGAAGGAATTGAAGCTTAATGAAACRATTAGGAGAGGGAGATTTAAGGTAAGAAATTCATGAAGAAATGTTAGTGCAGCTGTTGGCACAGGCTGAAAGCAATTCCTGTTACCTGCTGCAGCACCTGTGACTTTCAGTTTGGACACTTGCTCCGGGCTTCCCTGCCTGCACATCTGTGACGGATATGCTCCTTTCCCAGCTCAGCCTGGCCTGTACCTTACATGCAGCCCTGTTCAGTTGCTARCCACCAGCGATTTATCTAATCYTGGTAGGCRCCACCATTCTGATTTCTTCTGCCACTTAGACTCAACATARCATTCCTGAAGGCTGCATCCYAAAGGGGMGGTAAGGCTAATACACTAGTCAATGGGCCTCTGAAATGAAAGAATGACTATAAGTCAATCATCTTATCCTATAAATATGCCGACAGCCCGAGGGCCCTTTGAGCTCTCCTGACAYGGCTGCGGCCTGCACAGCAGGATCTCCCCTGGAGCAGGGACGCCTCTCAAGGWTAYTCCTCGAGGTTGAGAGACCCCCCCTTCCCACAACAGATTTGTGGTAAGTGAACATAGCGCGCTCTCTTTAACTTTACTTTGTAACTGTGCACAAGAACCCTTAGTCATAAACCGTTGACCAGGTCTGGGACTAGGAYTGGATCCAGCCGCACCTAGACTCTTCTCAGAAGGAGCCTGGAAAGCAAGGGGGTCCAATCTGAACCTCGTGACCCAACGGGAGGGTATCCCAAGATAATTGTGTATTATCTTGAGCCTCCATGCAGTGAATAATAAGTGACCTTGCCATAGAATCTCGGGAAATCATTGTCCATATTATTAAATCCTGTTATTATTTCTTTCATACGAGTGAAGTGCATTTATCACTCACCCCCGCCACCACTCGTTCCGTGACAACATCTCAATGAGGGGCTGGAGCTGCCGAGCGAGGGAGGCCTGGAGCGCGGCTGACAGCTCTCCTGGGAAGAGGTGCCCAACAACCTGTCACAGCAGCACTTATTCCCGATGCTTCCAGGAGTCAGCTGATCACTTAAGAGATGTGTTTTCCACAGGGTTGGGGTCTCTCACTTGAGACAAAAGCCTGGAGCTCCTGGACTTGTGCGTCTCCCACCTCCAAGCAAGCAGAGGAGGCTGTAGAGGACGCACCCGCGTTGGCCACTGGCTGCCGTTGCTGCTCCTGAGCCTCCTGAAACTGGGAGCTCYGCAGGGAGCTCCCACAACTCCACAGGGAGCTCCCACCTCCATGCAGCACCACAGTGGAGACTGTCCCAATTTATTTTGTTGTCTGTMACACACCCACGGGCAAAGACTGAGCTACCTTTACCCTACCAAGATCCTTCTGGAATTGCTCCACAGGGCGTGCATTTCTCTCACAGTCACTGGGTCATAACCCAACATCGGAGAGTCACCGCTAAGCTTGTTTGAAAGCGAGTGCTAAACAACAGCCAAAGGCCAATGCCTGATGCACAGCAGGGTATTAATTTGGGAGCAGAACATAGAGGTGCAGTGTGTCAGTGAGGGCACTCCAATCTGTGGGGCTGTCGAGCGAGCGAGTCCAAACGGGACCTGGCTGCCGTTCGAGAGAGGCAGCAGTTTCGCTGCACGTCACAGAGAGCAGTGATAAAAAGGCCACCTTTTCAGGACAGGAGAGGCAGAAACTAGCTTTTAATAAGCTGGAATTAAAAAAGGCACGGGTTGGGGGGAATACACTGAAAACAGCTATTCAAGGCAGTCGAGCAGCCAAACAGGATAATTTTGCTGGGCTGCAGAACTAAAGGGAGAGAGGGAAGTGCTGGAAATGCTGCGTTGATGCTACATGTATCCTTTAAGGCCTAATATCCGAAGTAGGTACTTCAGTGGCAACCTCACCATCTTTAAATGTATAAATTCATAAAATCCGGGCCATGTAAGGAAATGCTATTTTAGTGCTCTTTTATAGAGGAGAAAATGAGATACAGATACAAAAGGCAGAATTCATCTCACTTTAGCTGTCTCAAAGTAATTCTCCCATCTAAACTCGCCCTCTGCACACTCTCTGTAGTGAATGAAAATACCAGAATTTCTAAAGAATGATTCACGTCATCCTGAGGTACAATTGGGATGAACTCTGGCAAGGCAGGCAGGTGCCACATCACCCAAGTGATCTGTCCTCTGTGACATGGGAAGTGGGTGGAAGAATTGAATGAAAAATAGCTTTTTTTAGTGATTCCCCAGGAGCAGCCTTGCTGGTACCTCACTACCTGCAGTCGTGAGCACCCTCTCTAACAACAAATGAGAGAGAAACAAGCAAAAACTGCACCTTCCCCTCGGGGCTAAYATGCATCCTCCAGCATGAAGAAGGTGGGTATCCAAGTCAGATAAGTTCAGGAAGACTTTTCCTCCCCCTTACATAAATACACTTGTTAGAGCATTTCAACACTGCCAGAATTGCGCAGGTGAAAGGGGAGGATTCRTAAGTCGAAACATGATTCATGCCTTAAGAGCCCCACAAAGATTTGTTCAAGCACAGTGTCTTGCCTGGTTCCCTTTCCTCTGCCATGAAACCAGAAGCCAGTTTGTTTTCCACTTGGAGCCCGAGCCTGCTCCCCGTGGAGCGGAGCAAGGTGCTCGCTGTGTGGGAGCGGTGCTGCATTAGGTCATGGCAAAGCCTCTCGCACGCAGCTGCCTGACACAGTTGCAGACAAGTTCCAGAACTCTGCTCTCATTTGAAAAACATTGGAATGGAGTGCCAGCCCGAACGGCATGGAAGCTAATCCAGCCAGGGAATGCAGCAGGGTTTAATTCAGAGCCTCTCTTAAGTTTTGAGGAAGAAGGCGCTCAATGGCATTCATGCGCTGGTGAAGTTCAGAAACACACTGAAAGGGCTTGGAAACAATTTAAGGACAAATTTCAGTTCCTGATGAGGGCTAAAGGCAGAGCTGTCCCTACTGCTGTGCAGGATCCACTCTGAAATTTTAAATGGGATTTTCCCTGGTGCCTGACACTTGCATGAAGCTAAAGGAAAGAATACATTTCCATCCTAATTCTTAAAATGGGAATGGGAAAAGGCTTCCAGAGGGAGGGGCTTCCTCTGGAAGATCTTTGTAGCCAAATGAAAAAAAAAAAACCAAAAAAAAAAAAAAAAAACCAAAAAAAAAAAAAAAAACCCCAAAAAAAAAAAAAAACAACAAAAACTACATTTGTTGTGGTCATTAGTGAAAGAGATCACAGAATCACAGAATCTTCAAGGTTGGAAGGGACCTCTACAGATCATTTAGTCCAACCCCCTGCTCCAGCAGGGACACCCAGAGCACGGGGCACAGGGCGGCATYCAGGCGGGTTGGGAAGATCTCCAGAGAAGGAGACTCCACAACCTCCCTGGGCAGCCTGTTCCAGGGCTCTGGCACCCTCACAGGAAAGAAGTTCCTCCTCACCTGGAGATGGAACTGCCTGTGTTKCAACTTAGACCCATTTCCCCTTGTCCTGTCAGTGGCCACCACTGAGAAGAGCTTGGCCCCTTCCTCCCTACATTCTCCCTTCATGAACTTATACATGTTAMTCAGATCCCCTCTCAGCCTTCTCTTCTCCAAGCTGAGCAGGCCCAACTCACTCAGTCTCTCCTCATACGAGAGATGCTCCAGTCCCTTAATCATCTTTGTTGCCCTCCGCTGGACCCTCTCAAGAAGCTCCACATCTCTCTTATACTGGGGWGCCCAGAACTGCACACAGTACTCCAGGTGCAGCCTCACCAGAGCTGAGCAGAGGGGCAGAATCMCCTCCCTTGACCTGCTGGCAACATCCTCCTGATGCAGCCAGGATCTCATTGGCCTTCTTGGTCACAAGGGCACTGCTGCCTCATGGTTAACTTGGTGTCAACCAGGACTCCCAGGTCCCTCTCTGTGGAGCTGCTAAATGCGTAGAGATGATGCATTTGTGACAAATATTCCACAGACAGATACCATCTGAGGTCCAAACCACTGCAGTAAAGAACAAGGGGAGGTGCCTAATTCAATAGCTGGCCGGTCTCTTTGAGAGGAGAGTCACCTGATACTGCAGCATCAAAACAAGCCCATCCTTAAATGCCCAAGTTTGAGAGCATCCGGAGACACACAGCAGCTGGATGCAGATCACAGAATCACAGAGTGGTTGAGGTTGGAAGGGACCTCTAGAGATCATCTAGTCCTGCTYGAGCAGGAAGGACCTGGAGGACCTAGAGCATGGGGCACAGATTGGCATCCAGGCGGGTTTGGAAGATCTCCAGAGAAGGAGACTCCACAACCGCCCTGAGCCACCTTTTCCAGGACTCTGACACCCTCACAGGAAAGTAGTTCCTCCTCACATGGAGATGGAACCGCCTGTGTTACACTCATTGACCCTTGTCCTGTCACTGGCCACCACTGAGAAGGGCTTGGCCCCTTCCTGCCCACATTCCCCCTTCATGTACTTAGACATGTTAATCGGATTCCTTCTCAGCCTTCTCTTCTCCAGAGAAACAGATCTCCAGGTCTGTTCTCCAGTTACAGGGTCCATTCCTACTTGGTCTCTAATAGGGCTAGAACCTGGCTGGTAACATAACACATCTCACTGCAGAAACAGCCTGTACACAACAGCGTTGGCCCTTTCTGCAGGCTCCACAAGTGCTTTCATGATGTTAGCTCAGGGCAGGAGAATGTGAATGGTATGTTTTGTAGATATTATACCAGGGAGTTGATGAAGCAACTCAGATGTTTTCTTCCAAGAACCTTTAGCGCTGCAGTTTGAGGTCTGCCCTTGTGGCTGCAACACACCATGCTGTAGGTGGAAAGGATGACAGTGCTCTCCATTTCTGCACTGGTTCCTTCATGGCTGGGAGAAGATACTGTCATGTCTGGCCTGCTGCGACTGCAGTCAGTGCCAGGACATGGCATGTGATTATCAAGTAGATTTATGAGCCCTACACGTGCTGGTCATTGGTAGCAGCACTTTTTTTCCACACAGACAGGAGTCAGATGTCTAGTTCTGARTTATTCTTCAGTACTAGAGCCTGGTTAAAAGTGAGCATTAAAAGAAAAGTATTCGGGAAAAAAAAGCAGAAAATGAAATTGTTAAATGAAGACAACTATTGTTATTCAAGGTCCAGAATAGAGTTTCTTGGAATTTTATCTATGTTTCACATCACTATGCTATCAAATAAAATGCAGCCAAAAGGTAGGTGAGGCCACTCTGCATTCAGTCTTCTCACTTGCATCAATAGTAGGAGGACCTGTGTGTTTATGTTTCATTAACTTAGAACAGAAAAAAAACTCATCACAGACGGAAAAGAGAAAATTACCTGTTGATCTTCTGATGGTGACTGAGGAGACTCGGCCCCTTCATCTGCTTTGGCTTCTGCATGGGCCTCATTTACTTCAGTAGCATCRGACTTTTCAGTCTCCTGGCAGCAAAGAAAAGGTCACTGTTAGCCTCAGGACATGTGATCAGCGATTCCTCCCTGTACAGTCTTTTGGCTGTATAGTTTGGGGAGGTATTTTTCTAATTTTGCTTCAACACTTAAATGAAAATACTCCYTTTTGGACATTTTCCTATCAAAGGACCACTGGCTGGGATATGGAAAACACAAATTCAAGCCCCTTATTTCCTTTTCAGAGCAGAGTAGATTTCCTGACTTTTCTGTGGAAAGTTTAATAGAAACTGATGCTCACCCTGATGGCACATTCGGGCTTCAGGGAAAAAAGTCTTTTCACCAGCATGCATTCCAATTAAACTTCATCAGGAAGCTACAGGAAAACAGATGTAATAAAGGATTTCATATACGGACTCTTAACTTGCTTGTTTAAAATCATCATGTAAATATTCCTCAATTCACATACCAATCTACCAGATCTGTATCTCCCAGGAACACTAACAAGCAACTCCTTGAAGCTCTTCATTTTAAGTGCCCTTGTACTTTCTGTTAGGTAGCTATGAAAGGTCACGTTGGACCACACGCTGTGTCAGATAAAAGGAGAACTAAATGGCCTTGTGTGGAATAACTGGAATGGGATGAAATGCAATAGAATGAAATTTAAATTATGTTATTAGAGACTTTCCAGATATTGGAAAGAAATATTTCATCTGTAATTTGAAAGAGAAYGAAGGAGGAAAAGATGGTTTAATTTTTATTAATCACAGAATAGCTGAGCCTTCAATGTGATGCAGCAGAGAAAAAGCTAATAAATTTGGTCCTCAGGTGTATCAGGAGAGGTGTATCTGAGGTGTATCTGATAGAGGTAAAAGCAAGTATTAATGTCAACATATAAGGCAAAGGCAAAAACTCCTCCTGATCATTCTGTACCATTCTTGTCACCCAGACTCAAGAAAGAGAAATTCAGATGGGAACAGGTGCAGAGGGGGATTACAGAAATATCTGAGGGAGTAAGAGCCTGTCTTATGAAAGAGTGACAAAAAAAGCTTCCCTAGTTTAATCAGGTGAATGCAAGGCTGTGAGGGGATACGCTGTCTCTCTAAAAATAGATSGGAGTAAACACCAGGGAGGGATTGRATAAGGAAGAGCATTGAATTAGATGTAAAATGGGTACAAACGAAGTGTAAAACAAAGCAAAAAAACCCAAACAAACAAACAAACAAAMAAAAAAAAGCTSAAAGTGAGAAGGAAGCTCCTAATCATGAGCAGTGTGCAATTTTACAGAATCACAGAATTACAGAATGTTTAAGGTTGGAAGGGACCTCTAGAGATCATCTAGTCCAACCTTCCTGCTCCAGCAGSGACACCCAGAGCACGGGGCACAGGGCGGCATCCAGGCGGGTTGGGAAGATCTCCAGAGAAGGAGRCTCCACAGCCTCCCTGGGCAGCCTGTGCCAGGGCTCTGGCACCCTCACAGTGAAGAAGTTCCTCTTCACMTGGAGATGGAACTGCCTGTGTTTCAACTTAGACCCATTTCCCCTTGTCCTGTCAGTGGCCACCACTGAGAAGAGCTTGCCCCCTTCCTCCCTACATTCTCCCTTCATGAACTTATACATGTTAATCAGATCCCCTCTCAGCCTTCTCCAAGTTGAACAGGCCCAATTCACTCAGTCTCTCCTCATATGAGAGATGCTCCAGTCCCTTAATCATCTTTGTCCCTTAATCATCTTTTAGAAGAGCTTTCTAGTAGAAGAAGTGGAGGTAGAGGACCCAGTTCTTTAAAGGGATGCTCTGACATTTCCGAAAGGCTTCCACAACGTGGAATTGGGCTCCAGGGAGACCCTGTCCTGGGCCTTCCCAAGTCCTTCAGCCTCTGGGCAGAGTGGCCCAGTGGTCCCTGAACACAAGGGGAGCTCCTTTCTCCTGAGACTGAGCCCCTACAATTCATCTCTTTGGTAGGTTTGATTTTCTTTGCTCTTCTTTGATTTCATCTGGGCCTCTGCAGTCCCACCAAACTCCTCAGTCAAGATCCATTCTTCTTTAAGCTTCCYGAGTGCTCCTCCTGTGTCCTGCATCACATATGATCCCTCAGCTGGTGTGTCTGGCCTGTGGATGCATCACCCGGCCACAGCTACCTGGCTTTTAGCCCCCTGGCAAACTTGGTCAGGGCCGGCCCCATGATCTGCTGGGCAATACAGGATGTTCTTCAGCTGAGGAGCTCTGCTGGGCGGGGAAAAGATGGCAGAAACAAGGACAGGAATGTTTGGAAGCAGGAGTCATGGAAGGGGGAAGATAGACAAAATAATTCTGTGKTTTTGCTATTCGTAAGGTTTGGTGCCCCTTCTGCTGTTTTCTCTTGAATCAAGGAAAGCTTTAAAAAAAAAAAGTAAGAACCTTACATTACAGGGGGTTAAAAAAAAAAAAAAAGAGGAAAAAAAAGACCCTTATCAGTAGAAAGTGTCACAAGAGTGTCACAGAAGCAAGTCAGGCCCTGCCAGGAGTCCTTCCCAGAGCTCCCCTGCCCCGTTTCCTGCCATCAGCAAAACCCTTTGCAGGGCTGCTGGTGAACTGCAGCAGGGGACTGATCTAGAATTAAAAGCTTTCAAAAGAAGCACAGTTCTGTCCATCTSCAGCAGCCTGCACCCTCCACAGCTGTGCAAACACTTTTACTGGCACTTGGAGGATGCCTRGGGAGGGGAAAGGGCAGCTGCGAGTAAAGGGAAGGACCAGGAGGAAGGTGGGACTATTTGTTTTCCTGGCAACGTTGTCTTCTTTTAAGTGTGCTTGACACTGCAGGCTCACCGCATTCTTATGCTGATAGCACTACTATTAAAACTAGATCTACATAGACATTTGTTTGGTTGAACTTATCTCTTACTTTTGCCCCAGAAGCTAGAAAAAAATGAAGATAAGGATATGGAGTAATACACCAATATATTGAAACTCTMATTTGTGCAACATTGTGTTTACAAATTGCATGCTTAAGCAAAATATAATTTCTTTATAGATGCTTTCTCCTAAAATGAATAGTGTTCAGGAAGCCTAGATTGGTTGCATATTTATTTTCAACATATATTCTAACATTTAAAATCCCTGGTCTCATTTTTTTTGGATAAAAATACACAAAAAGTAATGATGGCATTTTCATTAAAAAAAAACCATCATGTATAACTATCTCAGATGAAATGTATACTTGCTCAGAACATAAGGCAAATAAAATTTGTTACTGAGAGAGTTAAATTCTCATAAATAGAGGCAGCATGTTACAAGCCAGCACAGACACACACACAGAGTTATCAAAGGATATAATTATCATGGACAATTGTGATATTTTGAACATTATCRTTATACTAGCTATGCACAACAACACAACACATAATTCTAACTAACTAAAAATGAATTTCCACTCATAAAGACTGGTTGACAGATCATTTTCTCTTTCAGTAAGATGCATCTATTTTAAGTTTGCAATTCAAAGCAGTCTTAACTGTAGAAGCCTTCTTCAGGCAAAGGACAAATTGTGTGGATTTGGGAATATCAAGTTTAAGGATATTAGGGTAGGAATACTAAGATTATGGATTTAAGTATATGTGAGATTTGAAGCCAGACCTTCACTCATGTAAATCAGTTTCAGTGAGTTCATGGGGCAACTGCAAGCTCAATGATCTCGCTACCAGCTGCCTGCGCTCTGGCGTTCCAAGAAAAAGAAGCAATGCTCCGCTTGGGTCAGTAAAGCTGCCAAAAAGCCTGTTTGTGCTTGAGACTAAAGAAACAATTAGTTTTCTGCATTCCAACCTTGCTAAGATACTCAGAAAGTGCAAGAGTACAACACACTTTTTGTCATTCCARTTTAAGTAGCAGATGCCTCATGGACAGAACAGTTCAAAACGGCAGCAGCTCTTTGTGTTTTTTTCACACGTCAACAGTATTTGAGYGCAGCTTCAAGAATACTGAGAACAGTCTCAGACTGAGCCTAACAGTGGTGAGCATAAAAGTGGGGCCTTACGAAGAATCATACTCAGCTGTACTCAACACATTGTGAGATTGAGACTGATGTTCATAAGCTTTGTCTTATGAAGTACACTGAATATAACTCARTCCTGTTCTTGAATAGTCCTGGCACATCATTTTTCATGCCACTAGTGCAAGACTGACCCAAATCACTCAGAAATCCATCACTAACTTGAGTGATTTTTGAGAYGGGACATAAAGTATAGTTGCTGTACATCCCAGACTGACATGAAACTTTCTGTTTATTTAGAAGTTAGAATTAAATAGAAGTATTTAAGACAAGGTATTCCTTCAAGGTARAAGGTAATCCATATTAACAGGATAAAGAACCTATTAACACAAACTCTGTGTCTGCTTGTTCTCTTGCAGGTATCAAGCTGTGCACTCATTGCTGCTAAATGATGCTGAGAGAAATATGATAATCAATGTGATGAGGAGACTACAGGAGAGGTTGTAGGCAGAACTAACTGACTCTTCCTGAAATACCAAAAAAAAATATGTATTGATTTCCTGCAGTGTCACTATTTTTTATGGCCAAAAAGCACCTTCATAATACTAATAAGGTATTTGCTAAAAAGGAAGAGAAGTGTGAAGAACTCTACCTGATTCCCACAGTGAGCTAAGTGATTCAGCATTTGGAACTTAACCTTTTTCACCAAGACCTACATGATTTCCATATGCCACTCTTGCAGCTAAACACTTCTTTGGATTGGGACTGGGAAAGCAGAGATAACTCATGATTTTGTACTACAGTGAGCACCTCAGCATAGCCAGCAGTAAGGCTGACTGCTGGGAGAAGTGCTTATTTAGGGAGCTGTCCCAGCCTCTTCTCCAGCCATCCTGCTCATCTTTGACGTTGACTTGATGGTTCCTATTGAAACAATTGAAGCTTTTTTTTTTTTTTTTAACCTTTTAAGTAAAAGGATACTGTACACAAAAGCTATTTTGCATGTGTGTTGAATATCTGACAGGAATCTCCTTTACATCCGTGTAAACTCAAGGCTTCCTTGYATGTGTCTTATAGTCGGTCTGCATCTTGGTGGCAGCTCTGATGTATCCTGGACAAATCAGACCTACTGCTTAGCCTCTGCTAGCACATTAGGACTGACAACTCAGTCTGACAACTCCTGGAGCCATCGGAGCTCCACATACCTAGCAGTGGTGTCCAGCATAGGCACCTTTCTTGACGAGGCCTGGTGGCAAATTGTAGCCAGAGAGAAGTCRGGGCTACAAACATGAGAATCTGGAGAAATGAAATCTGTATTGTGCATCCAGCAGGCTGATGTGGCAATGAATTTAGTTCTCCACATATTTTGTTAGGAAGTTAAAATTAGTTGAAGGAGTAGCACAAAGTTCCTCTGCCTGCCTTGGGAAATAGGCTAAAAAGAGTGGTGGATCAGGATCCTGGTAGGATCACTGAAACAGCATCATGATCATGAAAGTGAATGTAGTAAGGGTTGAAGGATGGGTAGGAAAGAGAAGAAAATCCTCKGAGGCGGGAGTGGTCGGTATAAAAYGCACACCAGCTTCACATTAATCTTCACAATGGCTCAGTGAGGTAACCTCACCTACARGGTAAATGCTTACTGACTGCTTTGGGGTGTTTTCATACTTTACAGTTTGCTTCTTTTGTAAATTATCATGGTGTTTCAGGAGAAAAAAAAAAAAAAAAAAAGGAAAGGAAAGAAGGAAGGAAAGAAAAGATTAGCAGGAAACTCTTGTCATATCTGTCATCATCAGCATYTCCTCCACACCTGACATACTTCCCCAGATTCCTGCTGCTGGCAATGTCAGGAACCACCCCTTGTGCTTCACGCTAAGGTTGAAATGAGGCCTAATGAAAAAAGAAACAGAAGCACAGCAGCGAGGGCACCTGTATGACGCAGCATAGCCAGGCTGTTAGGCAGGGGAGATGCTGAGAAAGACCTGTGCAAAAAATGCTTCAACACTTAATATTTCTCTTTCCAATTCCGGAGCAGATTGTGTAATGAGCAGGATGCAAGTACACTTCCACACTTTATAAGCCCTCATAAATTCCATTTTCTGGACTGCAACAATCCTCAGCACAGCCAATGCAGCAGTTAATCAGCATCAACGATTCTCGTTTGCTGCCAATAGCACTAAAAGTTATCTGCCTGGCAGATTGCTCCAAACTTATTATTTTCAACATTTACAAAGTTGTCACAATCTAGAATCCTTAATAGGCTCTGCTGTCAGGTGGGAAAGATTAAATTCTAAAAAATTGCTACTTTGCTTTACAGACATACTATCTAACAGAACCTTGCATGAAGAAGCAGATAATATATGAAGTGAAAAGGTGGAAAAATGCAATTTTCTTTATCTCACTGATTCTTCACATATCTTTTATGATGATTATAATATGTAATACTTGTAGGTCCTTTCATGGCTTTGTGGATGTTAATTAAATGAATCCTCAGAAGACCCTTGTGAGGCAGACAAGTACTTTTTATTTCCCTTGGCGGGAGATGGGACAGCTAAAGCAGAAAGTTTAAATCACTTGCTCCTTATCTCACAGGGACATGGTACCAAAGATAACGTTTACAGCAGTAGTGTCTCTCCCCTGGGTATCTCTGCATCAGTAGATCTCAGGGCACGAAGCAAAGGCTCATTTGCTCATTTTTATCTCTGCTTTTACAGAAGAGGAAAACCAGAGGCTTTCACAACTGTGTTTCACTCTAAGTTGCTCCACAATTGGCAGCAGGGTTAGACTAGACAGCAGATCTCATGCTCCAGGGCAGGTTTTTTAGCAGCAGTTCTCTGCTATCAATCTGGCTCATCATTCTCTTGATTCATTTTGTTGGTTGAATCACTCTTGTTAAAGATGGAAACACTCGATTGTGATCTAACATGATCTATAAAGCCTCCAAGTAAAAATGACCACATTAAGGAAAAAATACATTGCTTTCAGTAAAGCAGAAAGAAATATCTTTTGCTACAAATATGTTAGAGCATTGTCAGAATACAGTGGATGGAGAAGAACGGGGAGACTAGCCAGAGGGTTTTCATGAAGTCTTGAGTAAGACCTTAGCTTATCTCCTCAAGGCAGAGCACGAACCCCAGAACAGCAGTCTGGGCACAAGCAGGTTGGGCTTGGTCCAACATCCCTCTTTTGGCAGTCAATACAAACCCTATTTGCTCCAGGTCTGATGCAGCCAAGAAGTGGAAGCTGAATATGAAAAAATACTGCTTTGAGTTCAGTAAAAGATCTTCAGCTGGACACACACCACAAGCCTGTGGTGAAGGAAGGGAAGAGAGAACTACATCCTCGGACTAACCCAGCCACTGTTTTGTTCCCTTATGAACACTCTGCTGTGATAGCATCTTATGTAGAACTTGGCACTGTCCCTTATTTGATGTGCTGAGTCAGTTACTACCTTCATCTTTTATTAAAATCAAGTAAGTGGTCCCCATGGAAGGACAGCAGCGCATACCTCTGTGCCTGGAGGAGGAGGAAGACCCAGAAACGAATAAATAATATTTTCTTCTTTAGCAGAGAAAAATGATTCAAAGTCCTAAAAAAAAGGGAACAAACAAACAGTAGACAATCAGTAACATTTAAAAAAAAAGTGAAAAAAAATAGATTTGGCAAATATATCTTACAGTGATGAAAATGACTATGCATTTGTGCAAATGCTTGCATTATCTAAGCCCCAGAAAGAATATTCAGGTAAAGGGAGTTTCATGCCAGCTGTCAGAATGAATAAATCAGCCAATCTCTCCAGAGATTTATACTTTATCATACCTATGTTAGAATCATATGAAATCAAATTTGTCATTTTAATGTATCTCAGCTGTACGTAACCAAAGTTAGGATGCTTCCACTTAAATATTGCAACAAACCTTGTTTTGGGCAAGGACACAAACAAGGCCCTGAAAACCCTGGGCAGCTTTATGGCAAATGAGAGGCAACAGTCAGCATCACAGCACGAGCAAAAAGGCAGAGAGGCAGCTGCTCATTGCAGGGGAAGGCACTCGAATTACAGAGAGCAACATGATCTCAGCCAAACTTTACCAAGCGTTGAGTTGTTTCCCCTGACATGTATATATGAGGCAAAAGGTCTTGTATGTGAACTGAATTTATAACTCACATGTTATAAATAACATGCATGCCCATTTTCTCTTCAGTGCTAAAACTACTGAAAAGATGGGATGAACAGCTCCTGTTCTGCTACGTGGTTTTACCTGTGTTCATCATTTCTACTTTCCTATCAAACACAGAAGTGCTGCTGTTGCTAGTTCACTGCTGTGGGGCTCACAACCCATGTCTTACTCAGATGAAAATCAACATGAACTTAGGGAGCCAGCAGAAATTCTGATGGCAAGAGACCATCCCAGGATCACACAGCAGCTCTGAATAGGACAGGTCTGCTGAATCCTAGACCTTGACAGCTTTATCACCCAAATAACTCCAAAAATAGAAGCCTGTAAATAGTAAGGTGCTGAATCATCCCTGAGCCTTGTTTGTAAAGCTGAGTTAGGAGTTGAGGTGTTTTGCTGGGCTGCTTTAGCATTTCCAAAAATAAATGGTTGGAGAATGGTAATCCTGGGGACAAGCTGCAGTGGATGGTTCAGAAGGCACCTAACATCAACAAGGCTGGAATCAACCAACAGCTTTTAATTTCAGTTTGGAAGGGGTATACATAGCTTAGCAGTCAGGTTAAATGACAGCCCATTTCCTTGATTTATCTATGGGACAGATTGGTTTTCACAGACGTAGACCAGGTTTCAGGAGCTKGGGGCTACCGTGGCTGGAGAGAACTTGAGAGCCCGTTCTGGCCTCAACTAACAGAACATCTACTGGTACTTCAGCTACCCTGGAAACCCTCTGATTGCTGCTTTAGTTATCCTGTCTGGCTTATTTTTCTTTTTCCTAACTCAAATTTGTTGTGTGTTCCTAACTCCTAACTCAAAACTCTAGAGAGGGTCCAGCGGAGGGCAACMAAGATGATTAAGGGACTGGAGCATCTCTTGTATGAGGAGAGACTGAGTGAGTTGAGCCTGTTTAACTTGGAGAAGGGAAGGCTGAGAGGGGATCTGATTAACATGTATAAGYTCATGAAGGSARAATGTAGGGAGGAAGGGGCCAAGCTCTTCTCAGTGGTGGCCASTGACAGGACAAGGGGAAATGGGTGCAAGCTGCAACACAGGCAGCTCCATCTCCAKGTGAGGAGGGACTTCCTTCCTACAAGGGTKCCAGAGCCCTGGCACAGGCTGCCCAGGGAGGYTGTGGAGTCTCCTTCTCTGGAGATCTTCCCAACCCGCCTGGATGCCGCCCTGTGCCCCGTGCTCYGGGTGTCCCTGCTGGAGCAGGGGGTTGGACTAGATGATCYCTAGAGGTCCCTTCCAACCTCCACCATCCTGTGATTCTGTGAAATTTGCCACAGCATTTAAGAAAGCCAGTGTCTGAAGTTTCATCAATACCTTTTGGAGGACTGTAGCAAGCAGAGCATGAAGATTTTCTGCAATACCTATATGAGAAGACACTAAATGCAGAGGCTGATGGTGTTGTTTGCCTTTGGAACCACTCTATGAAAAAATATAGCAAAAATATTAAAAAAAAAATACTCCCAGGATTTTTTCAATATGATTCTTTATGATACCAGAGCATATAWACACAGGTGAACTATGTATTATCCTTTGTATGACTACTGAGGAAATGCCAGAGTGTAAATTCCAACTGGTCATTAGGAAAAAATTCTTCCAAACATGAGTGGTGCCATGCCAGATCAGACTGAAGAGAGAGGCTGTTGAAACRACATCCTTGGAGATTTTCAGAGATTTTGCCCTTGCCTGGCCTAGGGTACAAGCATCTTTAAAGTTAGCCCTGCTTTAAGCAGGAGATTAGACTAGAGATCTCCAGAGGTAGTTGTGATTTCTTTTTATTTGACTTCAGCAGCTCCATGAGGCATCAGGTAAAGCTTTCATTTAAAAATTCAGACATTCTTTAAAATAAGATGTACATGGGTAGCTTATTCTATACATTTCAGCTCCAAGAGAAAAACAGAAGTTTGCATTCTGTTCCTTTCCTAGTTTTCTAATTCCCTTTGATGAGCAAAAGCACACATGAGAGCAGCAGAGTGCTCAATATATTTAGGAAGTGACACAGACACAGACTTATGTCTAGACATGAGCAAAGAAGAAGCCTAAGATAAAAGAACATAATAATAAATAAGAACATGATTGCCCACACTGATGGATCAGAGTGGATACTTGAAACTGGTAGCATAGCCAGGCATAAAAATGATTCCATTCCTAATCTATGTCTACAAGTGGCAATACCAAGGATCCAAAAGAAAAATAAGATTCATGCTCTTTATAAAACAGCTTTAGGCTTCTCTGACCCACTGGAAAAGCAGCAGACAGTTGGAGTATTTTCATAAGTRCATCCAGAAGAAACCTGCACTTTACAGTACAAGGCAATAAGCAAGGCAGCTSTTCAGCGTGAGCCAGGAGGTGCTCGTGCTTTTATATATCGGCAATAAAAGGAGATGTTCAAAAAGGTTGTACAGCAATGTACCTGCTCACTATGTCAATCTATTCCAGCACAAAAAGGAAGTCACTCTGCCCCCAAAGTAAGCCATTTGGTATTCCTCCCCTACAAACTGTGCACAAGAGGATCAAGGACGACCRCAGAGAATCACAGGGTCACAGAATGGTTGAGGTTGGAAGGGACCTCTGGAGATCATCTTGTCCAACCTCCTTGCTCCAGCAAGGACACCCAGAGCACAGAGGACTTTTCCAAGCCAGGAATAACTATACTGTTCCTGACGATGCTTTTTCAATCCATTGGTAGGGACTCTAATGACATAATGAAACAATCTCACCAATAACCTTTTCCAGTGTTTTGTTGTTTTTCTCATTAGATTATTTTTTTCTGACGTTTGACCTAAACTTCCTTTGCAGCATTTTATGCCCATTACCTCTTGTTTCATCCCCAATGGACATCCCCATGGGCAATGAGCAGAACATATTTTAAAAATCACAGAACCAAAAATGACTTAGGTTGGATGGGACCTTGGAAGATTTTCTAGCCCAAACTCCTGCTCAAAGCTGGGTCAATACTGAATTCATATCCTAGTGAATTCCTCTTTGCCAAAATATTTTAAGTACTTGAAGGCTGTCATTTATTCCAAGGAAATATTTTATCCCACATTTTCACCCACCCCAGGCCAATGGTCCTAGGTCAGCACACGGTTGTATATACTGCATATATATGCACATGTGGATGGGAACCAAACATATAGAAGAATCAATGGGAAGTAAGGTGGCGGGAAAAAAGAAAGGATCTTATAAAACAGAATGTGCAGAAATGAAACATAGTAAAAAAAAAAAAAAAAAAAGAAAAAAAGAAACTTAATAAAAAAAGAAAAAAGACTATTTGGGGACTATTGGATATGAGGATTTGGTAGGAAGGTGAGTGAGAGAAAGAAAACGTGTCATAGATAAAAAGAGGCATAAGGCATAAGGGGCTTGACTTTTCTAGCACAGCAAAATGAAGATTAAAAAAAGACATCCTATCCATAAATACATTGGGCTGCAGCTGTTTAAGCTAGAGGGCAATTTTGTCATACAAGCAAACAGGTAAGAACGGGTTGGTTATATCCAGGCTGGAAATTGTAAGGAGGTTTCCAGCCACCAAGAGGATGAGACCCTTGGACAGTGCACTGTCAGGAATAACACATTTTAACGGGACTTTCATGGCCTCAGGATACTGGCCTGAAACCCACTGCCCAGGAAAAGCTTTGTTATTTTTCCTAATGTGGCTGAAGGCAGCAGAAAAAGGCCACAGAGGAGCGAAAACAAGATCATGTTAAACAGTCCTGATTTTCAGAGTGACGTCCCTGTTGCATCCATGCAGGTTTCAGAGGGAAGGAGAATGCGGATCCCGAGCTCTAAACCACAGACTGTCTGTGGAAAATGTCACATCTCTCCAAGGAATTTCACACCGGTCTGGCAGCCAGTGGCCATGTTCTCCACTAGCCCAATAACCCCCTTTATCCCTGCTTCGTGCAGCTCCCTCAGGGCACCAATATCCCAGGGACCATGGATTGACATGTATCTCCTCACCCCATTTATTTGGAGACAAGCTTCATGCTAAAAACAAATTTTTAGCCTGGACCCACAGGATTCATTAGATATGAGATTGAGAGCTGAGCACACCAGACCTCCTGAGGCTCTTAGGCTAATTTCAAATTCCATTTAGTTTTTACATCAGTAGCTAAACAGGTTTCTCAACTCCCTTCCACACTGAGGGGTCTTTGCAAATGACACATTTTTAAATATAAATTTATATCAACATGGAGATTATTTGGCTTCCTGAAATAGTTTCACACTAGGAGTAAAAACTGTTGATTTATCATACATTGGCAAAGCAGATCAGCCACGATGCTTTGTAAAGCAACTGCTCTTTAATTCACTAGATAACCTCTCCAAGGATTCTCAGAAATATTTATTGCCACATCGGTTGCCGAGAAATCCAGAACAAGATATATCAGGTGATACTTTTTACAGGTCCAGGTTAGATGTTAAAATGCACACGAGCTCTAACCTGCYGATTTCTCTTTCAAGATTCGCAGCAGAAAATGAGAAAACATTTTTACCCACATACTAGTATCTTTTGTTCTCAGAAGTTAATTCTGAAGAGTTAGTGCCATGTAAATCCCTTCCCTCCCAAAACAGCCTATGCAGTAGTTCACACGGGATTTGTGGAGTAACATAACTGGACACACTTTTCACAGTACTTAGGAGTTCATTTCATAGATCATATCAAAGTACTTTCCAGGTCATATTTCCATCAGACTATGAGTACAAAATTACCTCACAGATATCTTTTAATTCTGGATCCTAATAATTTGTGTTGTTACAACATTATCCTCCACTGAGTTGTACGCAGTTTCTGCAGAGAGATAACCTGCCTGTTTCCTGCCTATGTGTAAATATAAAAGTGCCTTGTGGAGCTTTAAATTTTGATTATGAAGCTGGATATTTCTTGAATAAGCAACACAATTTCAGTAATTCAAAAGACATACACTAGAGCTATTTCAGTCAACTATGCCTACTATTTATTTATATTTGTAACACAGTGTAAAAAGAAAATGCCTGTTCATGGTCCCTGGTGCCTCAGGCATCCACTTGACTTCCTACCAGCCCAGACAGCTCTGTGTGAAAAGAACAGGGAGATCAACACCCACCAGGCAAAACTGGCTGGGAGTTCAGGAAAGGAAGTGCAACCCAGTAAGAGAGAGGGGAGATGAATCCTGCTATAAACCCCGCTAGTCTTGACTAGCTTGTTATTCTCGAGCCAAAAACTCTTAGCACTGCAAGGGCAACCGAGACCATTTCCTATCCTYCACTTCATCATCCTGTGCGAAGAAGCCGTAGTATCACTTAGGCAATGCTGTTGTTGGCCTTCAGGAGCTGGAATGAGGGTGTAAGCAGGKAGTCAGCAGCAGCAGACGGAGTTGTGAGTGAGGAGACCGTGGGACAGAAAAGGGGGAGCTCCTCGAGCCAAGTGCTCCATGCCGGGCAGYGAGTGCATGGACTCAGGATATGCAGGGGGATTAGCCATGCAGCCTCTTAAGCAGAGTTTCTGCAGTCACTTCTCCCTCCCTGCATATTCCTCTGCTAAAACAGGATCATTTTGTGCTTCATTTCCTTTCTGCGCCCTAGGAAACGCTTTCTAAGAATTGTTCTTTCAGAGTAAATCTTGAGCTGCCTTAGGGATTTCGCTTGAGGACACTTCCTACTAAAGGAAAAGGAGGAGTTGGCTATGAAAGAAGAGTGTCTAAAGATACTTATTTCCAAACAACCTCTTACCCCACAGTACCGCTCCTCATTGAAGATCTGTGGAGGAAGAGGGATCCCGTTTTGAGGCTTTTTTTCACCTGGGACATTCTCTCTCATCCAATTCCTGTTGTCCTCGTCACCTGCTATGTCCATTTGCTGAAAGTCAATCTTGTTGGCCTCTAGAAAGCCCACTACTTCTTGCTGCTTCTTCTTGATCTGTTTGGGAAAGATGAAAGACAAAATCGCTTCTTTATAAAAAGGTTTTCTAAAAGGGATGACTACTGCAAACAGAACCAATGTGGCTATGTCAAGTTGGATCCCTTCAGGGGTGATTATTTTTGTTTTCTCATTTTAAGCAGAGGTAATTTTTAATGGCTTTTCAGCTACACGATTATTTAAAGACCACATTCAGATGGCAAAACAGGACAGCATGATGAATACACAGGAGCACCTCATCAGAGGATGTCTGTATAAATGGTTAATAAAACCTGCGTGCAACAGTGCTAAGAGTTTCAGCAAATGCTCTGAAATCCAAYGAGTTCAAGTGTTGACAGCTGCTATTTCAGCATCAGCTTTTCACTTTGGACACTGACATTGAAGTAGACAAGGCTCCTGGGTAGGCGGCTGCCCTGTAAGTCCTGCAGGGAGGTAATGAAAACTTAGCTGCACATGCTACACTCCCTTGCTTATGGTTGCAACTAGAGCATCTAGAGTTAAAGCTGGATATGTGGGGTTTTTTTTACGTAATTTCAGGTTTATAATATACAGGAAACTCAGAAGACCTGCTCAGGACCAGAATTGAATAAAGAGGAAAAAACAAAACAAAATAATGACGAAAAAAACAGGAGACAGCAGGAGAAGAAAGGCAAAAGAACTAATAAATATGACAGAATGTGTTGAACTGACGTGTGCCAACCCCTTCAGCGGGAGAGAGGGAAGCAATGGCAGCTGGTGTGGATTTTCTTCAGTCTCTAACCCAGGGCATAGGYGTCATTATTTTATTTCAACACATCTTCCTAGAGACATTGCAATAGTCACCACCAGGCTGCCCAGGGCTCACGCAGTGCTGGTAGAAAAGATTAGCTGTCGTGGAGCAGATTACTAGCTATTTATGCAGCAATCAGTGGACCTCAGGAAATTAATTTCAAGGAGTGTAAAAAAGGAGTGACTATGAAAAGTCAGATCTTGGTGAAGGGCTTGTATTTGGGGCACACCAGGGGACATTTCCCTTTGAAATTTTTCAGAGGACTACAAACTACAAAAGGCTGGGGATACTCTTCYAAGCGTTACTTAGCTTTAATATTAATTCTTACTCCTTACTACATGTCTCCTCTAAAATCCTTAATCCCTGCTGATAAGTGTGAATTTTCCTGGGGGGAGAGAGCCTTTAATGTATAATCACTCTTGTCAAATCTCAGGGCTCCACAATAATTTTCCTAATTTCTGCCATTTCTCTTAGCCACTTTTTAAAGTGATTTGACTAGAGCAGAATCGTAGCTTATGTTTAAAGCAAGTGAACAGAAAGAGAAGTTTCCAGCCCTCATCACTTCAAAATCAAGCAGCAAGTTGAGAGAGACCTAAATGTACTTTTAAAATGTTTCATAAACTAAGGCAGTCTTGTGCATTTCTGGGGTTTAATTAAGGTTAAGGACTACTATATCTTGCCAGATGTCAATTTTACAGGGTTAAAAAAAAAACAAAACAAAACAGAAATTTGTTCAGATACTAAATGAGAACTGTAGAAATTTCTGGTATTAAAAAGTTGATTAAAAAGTTCAGCATGTCCTGTCCCAAACATTTCTTAGTAAAACCTTTTCTGGAGGGTTATTAGTAACAATCATCTTTGAACTGGCRTATAAGAACTACAATAACTTATGTCATGTTGATGAATAGAACATATATATTAAAAAAAGAGCTTTCCTTTCATCTCTACCGTATGTATGGTATGAACCTTGAAGTAGTATTTAAATGCTCCAACCAGGACCCTCTCACTGCAGATAGCAAGATGGAAGCTCCTGCCTCTGAGACCTTTACTTTCTCTAAACTGGATTTTCTGATCATTCTTAGCTTTTAATTGAGGATTGCAAATACAACTTTCCTGGTGTTTGCTGCAGCAGGCACACATGTAGCATGGACAAGTGGCAAAATGCTATCSTGACCCAAATTCTTGCTCCTCATATAAAACCTCTTCTTTCTTCTCATGCAGAACAAGATAATGGATGAATAAGATCAGCTGAAAGGATTATTTATTCTGTCTGGACAATATTTTTAGAAAATTACTACTCTAATGGTTGGTGCAGACACTAAGGTTAAGTGTAAAGGTATTGAGGCTAATTTTTAAAAAGCTAGTTTGGGTACCAGACATTTAGCTGTCGTAAATAAATCTATGGAGAGTCCATGTTGCTGCAAGTTGTGCTTTGGTGCACAAAATGCAATGAAGTTCAGAACTACGTCCACTACCACTATATTGTTCTGAAGTGCAGAGGTGAAGCATATGCCTAGAAAAAACACTGCAAAGTTCTGGCCAAATTCTAACTGATATTTCTTTTTAGTGGTGATTTTTTTCTCGGCAATGGCTGKCAATCTCTTCAGTAAGCAGTGTTCAGAGAAGGAAATCTTCCAGGATTTAACAACAAAGGGGACATACAAAAACCTTTCCATAACATGTGAGGATTGCAGAAGCTTGTTTGTACCCCAACATGTATCCTCTGGCACGAGAGGAATTCAGAGTACTTGGGAAGAGATTCCGTGGAAAGTGGTAGTGATTGGGATATTAATTCATGCCTGTCATCTTTCACTTCAACAAGGCTTAAGCTCCATCATGCCTAGCTGCGACCATGTCCTTTAAATTAAATAAAGCATATTTTATTTTAAATAGTGTCTGGAATGTGACAGCTACAGATCATATTAGCTTTATCTAATGCAGAATTAATATTTTCATCTATATCCTTGCCATGGAGAGCATACGCTTTTACCRACTGCCTGCTTCAGAATCAGATATTTAGTCAACAATAGGAATATTAATGTCAGCAGGCAGAGTCCTGCAGCTCTCATCTCTAACACTGCATGAACAACATTATCTCTACTGTACTTGAACAGAGATTTATTCTTATTTATTACACTACATCTTCTGCTGAGGTTGTGTACACTATGAGGTGTTGCCTTCTTTCTTGAATTGAAATTTGAGTTCCAGTTTCCTTGTGGTCAGATTCACCATCACAGATAGCAAACCACTACCAGTATTTCAGAGGAGATAATACAGATAGTCTACATTATGCTTAAGTCTTTTYGAGGTGATTGTGATATATTAAAATTGACATCTACAGATTTGAAGGTGGGCAAGTTCATAAACACTGGAAATAAGAAGACTTTAGAGGTGACCTAAGTGGAGTAGCAGTTTTCAAGACTTTGGAAGATAACCCCTGCATAAGACAGGAACATCCATTCTCCCGTGATTTATGGTACACTAGAGCCTTGTAAGTTATTACCCACTTCTAAACACTTTTGTGGCTAATTATGAAAATACTTTAGTTCTTACTGCATGTTTCAAGACAACCATTCAGCATATTTATATCCTGTAAATGTCTCTACTTATAATTAATAGTTAGATATCAACTACATGTTTGGAGCAGAATGACAATAAAGCGAAAGCTAYTTAAAATAAAGTTCTGAATTGTTGAGAGGAAAATAGATACAGTGGATTTCGCTCCAGAAACATACTGAATTACATCATTAAGCATCTGCTCCAGAGCACCACAGTCTTACTGGATTCATTGTATTTACTCTGGAAAAGTATTTACTAATGGGATAACCATTTACAATTATTGGTGGTATGGTTGTATAATATAAAGAATAGAAATGCTTTTTTTTAACCAGTTAAACTCTGTTGATCTAACCAATTGTTACTCTATACCAAAGGAGGTCAGATTCACCATATTTCAAAATTAAAAATTAAAAATTCCATCAATATGAATTTGATGGAGATTGGAGAGGACATCAATGCTACTAAGAAGATGTAGACATCTATTTAGGGTCTATTGGGATGAAATGCATTCTTTTGTTATTCTCAAGGAAGACCTGTACAAGGCAGATAAAAATATATTTTAATAGAATTTTAGGATATTTTTGATTTTGTGCTTGCTTCTTCTATGAGCAGCTTTTATTTTATAGATATCAAAACTCATTAAAGGCCCATTGAAAAGATATCTTCCATCCATTTGAGCCAGTAAACCTGGAAATATGCCCCATAACATTTTTTTTATCTGAAACTGCAGTTATGATTCTATAACATGAACAAATACTGCCTTCTGAGACTGCAATAGCTAAACATACACAAAATACACAAGGAGGAACTGGTGCATACTGGTGCCATATCCTTCCTTCCAGCATGCATCTGGCATCTCAATGGCAGTTTTTGCAGGCTGCTAACAAATATTGAAGATTCGCATTAATAAACTTAAAACCTCTTACAGCTCACTGACCTYATCTGTCTGTCTCAGCAGTAGTAGCCTGCATTAGCAATGTCTAGCAGCTCAAAATGACTGGATAAAGTGTAAGTGCTGCCTTGTGTTCAACACAGCATGTGCATCTATCCCTTCTTTGCAGCCCATGAAGAAAGGAGCCACAAAGGGAGGGAGGGAGGAGGAATGCCCAGAGAAGGGGAGAGCTTTTGGTTCAGGTAGTGCAAGCATATGATAGGCTTCATTTTAAGTGTGTAAGTGATCTCCCTAAATGTCAGTGTTAAATCAAAGCAGTCATACAAGTGCTTTGCTGAACTACAGCCCAATAGTCCTGTAGCTGGAATGGCAACAATTTATGCTTTAGTTGCACAAAGTCAGTCTCTAAGGAGGACCAAAATGATGGACATCTGCAGAGAGTCTGCAAAATGATTTCACRGTCACAACTTTTCCTTGAAGGCAGATGATTGACAAAGGAAAAGCCTTCTTTGGTAACCAAACAGGAGATAAAGAAGTCTTCCAGTGCACAGTATGTGCAAACTTATAATGCTATTCAAGCAGTAACTGCTAGCTTACAAATTACCAAATCTGACTTTGCTTATTTTTTTCGGCCTTGCATTTAAGGTTTCTTAAAAAAATGGTAGAATATCAGCATTAAATTCAGAGTTTCAAGCACAGAAACAGGCTGGCAAAAAATGCAGAGGAGAGACCCGCAAACTTCCTTTGCTGTGGACTAGCTTAAACCTCAGTGCATCTCCACCAGTTCATTTTCTAGAGATGGTGACACTGTAAACAGGGAGCATTTCAACTCTGGAAGCTTCTTAAGGACGCGAAGCTCGTGTCAGACCGCGAGGGATGCAGTTACAGCTATGTGTGAGCACCAGCCAACTTGYTCAGCCGTGTCACTGGGAATGACTGACTGCCAAAGGAAAGCTGCAATCCGACCTCCTCTGGGAGCTGGATATAAAAGGAAGCAGTCCTTTCCCGGTTCCCACCTCCCACAGACTTCCAGCCTCCCTACTATCCRCATGCCCGTCCCTTCAGCTGATAACACTGTGCTTGCAGCTGCAGCAGTAGACATCAAAATCAAGAATCATCAGTATAGCATTTCAAGAAACAACTCCCTCTCCCCGCAAAATGAAGAAAAAAATACCCATGAAAACCTAAGGAAAGGGAAGGCATGGGGAAGCCATTTTTTTCTGCAGTTTTATTCGCTCACTTTGGCTCCATACTCTTTCTTAGACACTGTTCCCCYTCAGCGGGAGCAGTGTCTTAAACTCTCTTTAAAATCTCTTTCACAAACAATTAATTTCTGATGTAAAGAATATACTTCATTTTGTGCAGGTATAATATCCAGTTTTTCCGTCCCTGGTGAACATGCATTGCATACACCTTTTCAAATAGATAAAAAAAAAAGTCTATCAATTGACACATCTGAGATGCAAAAAACCAAATACAAAAGCAGCAAGACCGGCATGCAAGCAAGCCCATATTAACAGGAATTCCTATATTAGTAGTTATTCTCTATATCCTGCATTGCTTTCAGGAATAAGGTGGTCAATGGAGACTAGAAGCAATTCAGTGTTTCCCGTTTCCCACAGTCAAACCCAGGCTGTGCYGGGCTCTCCAGGTGGCCCTGGGCTGTTCTCCAAATGGCTCCCGGCAGGAAGAGGCGCGTGCTAGGTGGGACACGTACCGCTGTCGACCCCGAGGAGGTGGCCACAAAGACTTTGATCACCATCTTGACAGCGTCCCAAAGGATCCGGCCGCGCCTGGGCTAACCTGCGTCCCAAATGATCCCGCCCGCAGCTCCCTGCCCGCTTTGGCCTCTCCTGCTCGCCCGGGCTGCCGGCTTTCCCCGCTCCATTGGCTCCTCGGCATTTCGGGACGAGGGGCCCGCAGAGGATTGGTTAGTAAGAGGATCCCTTAGCAGGGCACTTGCACCTGCCCCTGGCCTTATCGCGCTAGATTGACGGGGTGGCAGCCCAAAAAAGGCAAAGGAGAGTAGTGCACCAATGAGGCCCAGCTGGAGGGATGCTTGGGAGAGGGGGAGGGAGACAGGACACGGGAGAGGGAACTTGGAGCTGGCGGGATCAAAATAAAAACCCTGCAGGGCAATCTCCGAAGTCACGTTGATGCTTTCTCAGGTGCCCTCTGCACCACAAGGCTCCTGTCCTTTCCCTTCCCCACCACAAAGGTGACTCCAGAGTTGCAGCTGCAATTTTTACTGCAAAAAACGTGCTGAGGAAGTGAGCGTGTGTGTGGAGCAGCAGTAACASAGACCATATGGACATAATCCCTGGGCACTGAGGCCAGGAGCTTTCGCAAGCTCGGATTGCGACCCCAGCAGCATAGCTGAGGCACTTCTCTGAAATACACGTCCGTGTGTTTGCTGCTGGGGACGGTGGCGCAGCTGGTTCCACGTGTCCAGAACCTTATACAGGATTTTATCCCTCTTCCTGTATGGCCAGCCAAAATTCCCAGGGCACAAGGGAAAGGAGGGGGCTGGAATTATTGGTAAAATTTACTCTATCCCTCCTTGTCATCGAGGATGCCTTTTTCCCATGCGGCTGTTGCCTTCTGCCACAGGGCCGGTCCCTGCTCAGTGCCTGCATGCGTGTGTCTGTCAAAGGAGCACATGGGGCAGGTATTTCTCAAAGGGTGAGCTGTTAACGGGTGGCTTTCCGAATCTCAAGAGCCAAGTTCACTTCTGCTGCAAGCAGGCCGAGTACCCCAGGGTTCAGCAAAACGGAGCCTAAGTCAGAACTGAAAATGGCCAAGTGTTTATGCACACACCAAGTGTCAGGGCTCAACATCGCAGTGCCCAGCCCCAAAAATCCCCAAATGGGATTATAGGGACCTCTAGGGCCAGGTAGACAGGGCCAGCCGTTCAGACGGGACCATTCCCAAATCAGCTGGTTGGGCGCTCTTAAGATGTAAAGGTAATGGCTGTGACGATAGCRGAACCGACAGCTAGCACTGACCCACAGGGGAATGTCTTCACAGCCAAACTCTAATGGCCAGGATTGGGGAATAAAAATAGTATTTCGGCTGTCGTTGTTCCCCATGGGATTTCTCCTCTTGGAATTATTATTAAACACACAAAGGTATGGATACGGGATACTGGCGGGGGGGGGAAGGACTACAACTCCCAGGGTGCCCCGCGCCCGTCCCCATGGCGACGCGCCGCGCGGCGCCGGCCGAGGAGGCCGGTAATGGCGGCGGCGGCGGCGCTGCGGGGGCGCAGGGGCAGGCGGGGGGCCCTGTGCCCTGCGCGGGGACAGGGAGCCCGGGTGGCTCTCGGGGCGTCGGGGCGGCTGCCGCCACGGCCTCGAGGCGGCCGTTGGGCGGAGCGAGGGGGCGGTTGAGACCAACGGGTGCCCGAGGGTGGGAGGCCGCTGCGGGCGCCGCGGCTTCTCCCATCGCCCTCCCCGCGGGAGAGGCGGGGGCCGAGGTTAATTTCCCCTTGCGCTGCTGATTTATTTTTGTCTCCATTTCTACAGAAATATATATTTTTTTCCTGTTTCCTGTTTTCCTTTCTCTCTTTTCGCTTTCCTGTCTCTTCATGCCCTTTTCCATTACATTTTTCTCCGTACCCTCAGCCTTCGAAACTAAATGCTTCACTGTCGCGTGCACTTCTCGCTGAARCAAATGAAAGGAGCAGTTTAATTTCAAGTTAATTTAAGCAATGATTTGATTTAAGCACGGTTTGGTGAGAAAAGTATGGCAGAGCCAGATCCCATTTAAGCAGAAATGCAGGTCTCTGTACCAGGCTGCCTTATTCCCATTTGGAAACAGGAGTTCCCATCTCCTACGGGTGCCTGCACTGGCTCCAATTTACTTGCTCCAAGATAGTCCTTGCTTTTCCACCCAGGACAGTTGTTCTGTATGAGGGAATGAAAAGGAAGCGTTTTCTGCAAACCTAAATTGTACTTTGTCATTTTCTTAGGGAATTACGTGATTCTTTTCACATTCTGCTGTAATAAACTTAAGTCAATTTAAAATAAAATGCTATCCCGGGGGGGGGAAAAAGTGTAAAAATGGTTAAATATTCTAAAAATATTTCCTGTCTGTTTTAGTTTAAGCTGCTTGTTAATTTCTACCTGAACTGAAGAATCATTTTGATCCCCTCCTATTCCTTTTGCATAATTGCTAGTCTGCAATTTCCCGGAAGTACAGAAAATACTTAAGCATTTTGTTATAAATACATGTTTTAAAAAATGCACTAACTAGGGTTGTTCATTTTCTTATTAATTGGACTACCAAGAGAAGACAGCTCTAAAGGAAGCCTGGGGCCTGGAAGCTGATCAAAKATCATCACCAAATCAAATATCTAACGACAACAATAACAGGTGATGTTTCCAAAGTTATATCCTGAAGATGTAGATAAATATMTTAAGGTATTTTCAAAGGAAAAAATATGCAAAGTGTAGCTGAGCTGTGTAGAAAKTGCTATCATTAAGAAAAACGTTGGAATTTCACCTAATGTTTCTTCCAAAACTGTGCAGAGGCACTTTTATTACTTTTTTTTTTTAATTTAGTGGGCTTGTTTTCACAAATGATTCTAATTTGAAAATAAATAACATCCCAAAAGATTAAGAAAGCTTTTAATATATAAAATAGATATTCTGTTGTGCAGCTTTTGTTGCTGCTATATATTCTACCTATAATTTTAACGTAACAGTTAAGATTGTTTTGTTTTCATGTACACGTTCCTGGTCTCATTTGTCATATAAATACTGAAAAATATGACTAAGCTGCTTTTTTATTACATAAATTAGCTGTAAGAATTATATAAAAACACAATTAGAATTATCAATTAAATCAATTTCTAGATACCATCTAGGGACTTGACTTGCTCACATTTATGATTATTTTTAATAGTGCAAAGCAATTTTCAGCTATTAAGCAAAATCACATTGGAACATTTGCCCTGTTAGGTTAAGCATGGGCAAAATATATACATTACAAACTATGATATCTATTTTTTTGCATTAGAATACTAGCATTGTAAATCTTTGGAAAACACAGGCCAGTATAATAATAAATTGTGAGATAAAAGCTGTTACATGTTGCAGTTCTTTCTGGAAACAGGCTTACACTGTTGGCTTAGGCTGTTTGGCATTGCTTATGCTAAGGTTTCTGTGTGATCAGCTCACTAACATCCTGATTCCCGACAGGTTATGGGTGTCAATTTTTAAGTGTTCTACAAGCAACATAATGATGAGCTCGGATCATTGTTTCCTCCATATTTTAGTACAAGAAGATAATAGGTCAGGAAGTGGCACAAAAAGCAGGGCCCCTAATGATTCTGCGAAGACAAATGAGAGTATTAAAAGCAGCATCTGTGGCAAAACTAATGATTGTGGTCAGTGCTGTAGAGAATATGGAAGTGATAATTCTTACGCTAACTATTCTGAGGACTTCATCAGTGACTGCTCAGAAACAGCTAAAAAGAGCAATAATTTAAAACTATCAGGAGCTGAAGAGAAGAAATCACAGAAAAAGAATAAAAAGAAAAAAGGGCAGCATGTCATCGCCCCCAAAGGTAAAAAGGTAATTTCTGGTAGTAAAGTGAGGCTGTCCTGAGAAATGTGTCTGTTTGCTTTCCTCGACTTTTTTTTTTTTTTTTTTTTTTTTTTTTGCCTGATTTGGGAAACAGTTTTATAGTGCATTTAAAAAAAATCATATTTCAAGAACAGAATGGAGAGGAGATATTCCATATATGTTTTACCACAGTAGTCAGTGATCCAAGAGGCTGGATATTCATCTGCATTGTATGAACACTTTTGCAATCCTTTTTCCTCATTATTGAGTTTGGGAACTTGAAAGTAGACCTCGCATGTATACTGTWATTTATCTGTTTTTGACTCTGAATTGCATTTGAGAAGCCTTTCCTGAGGAAGAGATACTCAAAAATGATAAGTTTGCACAAAAGTGTAAGCTTTGACCTCCCAAAAAGTTGTATATTTTGGCCAGCTTAGTCATGGTGTATTATATAAAACTAAATAGAAATTAATTGAAAATTGAAATCAATTAATTAATTGAAATGAATGACCATGTAGGACAAATATATTCCATTTATGTAAATGCKAGCAGTAAAAAATCATTTCACATAGGCATTTTTTTCATATCTAGACATACACTTTTCTAAATCTCACCATCCTAAGTGAAAAAATCACAATAAACCGGCGACCCATTTCCTTCTGCTCTTCTCAATTTCACCTAGCTCTACAAAATCTATAAAGATGCAAATGTAAACATGGGTCTCTATTCTACTATAAAAGTTTTATGCAAGTCTCAAGAAGTTATCCTGGTGTGAAACTGCACGAGTAACCAAATATTTTTATCTGTTTAACAGAAAACATCATTATTGGCTTCTAGCTTTGTTGGGTCCTTTCAGTGATTGGTTTTGGTTGTGCATGGCAACTTCATAGACTCTATCTCCTAGGAACAACCTATAGCCAGAATTTCCATCCTGCATGATGTGCTATTAGATTTTACAACATTTTGTTAGCTTTTGCTATTAGGTGTTTCWAACTTATATCCTGACATCCCATTGTGGCAAGAAGTAAATTAGCAATGTAACCGTTGTCTCATTTTGCAAATATTTGTGTGGCCGGCTTCATGTTTATATTTGTAGTCCTTCTGCAATGGAAATGAGTTCTACAAATTGTATTACAGAGAATATGCAGGCAGGATATTTGCTTCTTTTTTTTAACATTTGAACATTCTTTTTTTCCCC